GACCATTTTGTGGTTGTTGCTGCTGTAACCCATAGGACCTGATATCATTGAAAGACCCATCACTGAAGCCTGCCCTGGTTGGAGAACCAACCAGAACCATGCTTATTAATAATACGACAATAGAACAAATCAGGACTCTTTGAACAACACCAGATGGCTCAGTGAAGCTGTCTTTTATATTTCCCAGAATGCCTCCAAGTGACATGACAGGATGGGCACTGTGGGAAATGAAAATGATAGCTGGTCTCAGCTGCCTCACCCTGACGGCCGCTGCCCACCAGTTAAGCTTCTGAAGTCCCACTGATAGAGGAGGGGGCTGACTTAAAGGCCACTTGCTAAAGTCTGAAATGGAACTTCTTGGAATAAGTTCTGTGTAAGATGCCAGAATGTATCTATTTATCTTTCTTGTTTGAAAATGAAAATATCTCCAGGAAACAGCTTATTATGGCTTGGCAGTGCGGGGGTAGTTGGGTGTCAGAAGTTAAAGATATGGAGTTGTAATTAGGAGACCAAAATACTTTCCCCTCCCTTGTGAAACAGGATCAGTTTGCCGTGGTGGAGAGTTCTTTAAAGTGTATATATTCTCTGTATGATCATAACAATGGATGATCTCTGACCACATTTCCAGTATGTTTGGTTTTGCTTTATGACTTGGCAGAGTTATTTTAAAAGAATCTAACTGTATTTCCAAAGTGTTTGCCATTATCTTGCACGGGAATGTGTTTTCTCCTGTAATTCTTGCTTTGCAGCAAATAAGATTGCACACTGTTTAAAGCTGAGATTTTTCAGCCAATTGTTTTGACCTTATCTGCTTTAGAAAGAACTGAAAAAGACGTTGAAGTTGCTTTTACTGCCCTCAGTAACGATAGTGGTCTTCACACCTTAACATCTGGCTGTGTTGCAGCTTGCTGATCAACAAAGCCCCTGCTTCTTCTGTGAGCTTTACCTTGCCCCAAATAAAATGCTCTGTAACAATTCTCTGAACCAGACAGGAGGCTGACAACACAACTGAACCTTTTCTTTGAAGTATCATGTTTAGGGAGCATCTAAAATCACTTCTTTTCCCATCCAAGTTGTTACTGAAGGTTTTATGAAATGGATAATTGTATTAGACTTTGGGCAAATGTCTTCTTGTCTTGATGTGTCTCTGAAATCCACTGACCCTTCTTTCCAGAGAAAGAAGAGCGTATGCGTGCATTTCTTTGTATGTGCACATGTTGCTTTAGCTCGTTCTTTGCTGTGCCACTCACTTCTGGCTCCTTTAGTGTAACTGGAGTGGGAGCACAGCCAAAACTACTCTAGCTGCTGGCATTTATTGATTGTGTCCTTCACGAAAGTACTGACTGTGTTCATCCCCATGTTCGGGAAAATGAATGCCTGGATTTCTACACATAATGGCTATATGGGATTATAACAAAGTTCAAGTGAATTTTATAGTTGGACAAAGTAAGAGTCACATTTTAAACAAAGAATCCCAACATTCTGGCAGCAGAGCAACACAGTTCTGCAACCAGATCTGTTTCCTGAAACGCCACATTCTGGCCTCATTCATTCCCCGGAGCAACCAGGGCCCTGCGAGGAGGCACATCCTGTCACTCAGAAACAACATTGTGGCAAGGCGAAGACAGGCTGGCCTTATACATCAACCACAGGAGGAAAGGCCTCAAAGAGCTTCCTTCACCCTTTCTTGCCAGAAAGAATATCTAGTAGAACTTGGAAACTAAAAGCTATTGCTTCGGTTTTGCTTTTTCCTCATCCCTTCCAATTTAGTTTCTTTTAATGTTGTGGCTTTTAGATTGTGAGGGCAGGGATTTGGAGCCTTTTTTGATTAAAGATAGTGCAAAGAAATAAAAAATACAGGGCACTTCCCCAATCAAAGTAAAGACCTTTTAAGTTTTAGAAAAGGGAGCGGCAACAAAAATGTGCTGTTTGGAGTGTTCCAGCCAGGTTCGCTTTCTTCTGGGAAGCTGCTTTCCATTCCCTGCCCCAGGCTGTCTACAATCCAGTGTTTCGGGATTCCTCACAGTTAGGTTTTCCAGGAAAGAATTCTTGCACTTCTGCAGAATCTGGAGTTCTAAGCACACTGATTCATCCTTCTTGTTCGTCCTTTGCTCTGTTTTGGCTACAGAAGGACAGGACCCGCAACAAAGCAGGCTGTTTCGGACTTCTCCCCAGAAGCCAGATTGTTGTGTGTGTGAAGGTAATGGGGGGGGGGGGGGGCTGCACGTGGAGGACAGCTGAGGAGGGTATTTGGGGGGCTCCCCCTCTGTTGTAACCCTCACCACTTTCCCACTACACCCAGCAATTTGTACAAGTCTTGTATTGGTTCCAAAGGAAGGCTTCTTTCAAAATGGAGATGAGATTGAGAGGAGGTGCTCTGGTGTGAGCTCTATGCATAAATGAGAAGGGGGTTGCATGCCCTCTCCCCCATTTGCTTTGGCTCTGCCCACTGCAGGCATGTCTCCCCTCCACTCCAAAGGCTAGCTGTGTTGGAAAGCATGAAGAATGTTCCCCGTTCCTATGCAGTATATATGCTTAAGACTGCAGCTTAAATCTGGTGGGATCGTGCCTCATGTATGTGTTTCTGGCTAAAGAAGTATCTGCAGATTTTGCTTTCTTGTAATTCTATCACTCTGTCAGCAGTAGTATCCACAAACTCTGCCTTAGGAGAACCTGCTATGAGTAAGTAGTGTCATTTTGCAGGCCCTGCTATGCATGCACAAAGCCCCAGGACAGTTCCCTGGCATCTCGAGGTATATCTGAGAAAGAGTCTAAAACTCTGGAGAACTGTTGCAGTGAATGTGGATGATGCCAAGGTAGATGGGCCTGTCGTTTACCTCAATTTCTACTCAGTTAACACTTAATGAACTGTTGAGGCCTGTTTTGTCCCTTCAAAGATTTCAGGGTGATACTTATGGAGCATCTATCCCCATAATAACCCTCTGGGATAGGTTCAGCTTAAAGAGGGTGTGATTGGCCCAACCAGATGCTATTGGGATAGTTGAAATGGGGAGAAATCTTTGACAGCTCCCCATTGGGCTTGGAAAGGCTCATAAATTAGATGCTGGAAAGTTGCTGTCAGTCAGTACAGATAATATTGAGCTAGGTGGACCAATGGTCTAACTCAGTGGAATGCTGCTTTCTTTGTTTCTACCAGCTTAGCCCCTCATCGCAGGCAGGAATCTCCTTGCTGGGGAACCCGTCACTGCAGGAGTTAGCTAAGGATGTCCCAGCTTGGAAGAATTGCTTGCAGTGGTGACTGATGCCCACTGGACCTGGAGGGCTGGAAGCCTGGAGGGCACAGTAACCACCCACAATGGCTGACAAGATGTGGGGCAGCCTTCTGAATTCCCTGGAATTCACATCACAGAAAGGGAGTCTGAGGCACATAATTTTAAGATCACGAGTATAAAGCAAATTATGCAGTCAGGGGGAGGGACAATTCACATATCAACACAAACACAATCCTTTGAATCCATATCCTGAGAATTCATGCTTGCAAAGCTAAATATGTAAGGGGTCGGAGTTTATTCTAATGTGCAGCAAGGCACAGTTTGTGCAGACAAGCTCCAGAACAAGGCAGTCCAGCCAACAAGTCAGCCATGTGGTTTCTAAGAAGCAGAACAACAACCTGCAAAGTCAGAAGTGAAAGCTGGCCAAAGAATCAACCACCCTTTCAAGCATCCCGTCTTAGCACAGTTGCTCTGTTCCGCAAAAAGACATTGTTTGCAAAGGGATTGCATTTGTCAAAATAACAAGAGCAGCATGTAGCACCCTGTGGCTGAATGTTTGAAAAAGTAAGGGGATTCACTGAGAATTCATCTTTTCAACTAGCAGACTAATGTCATTTTGATCAAATAAAGCTTTCAGGATCATGGTGACACATTTGCAGCTTGTTCACGAAGCCTGCATGGAGGTGAAGACTGATCAGTGACGACTGCTTGGAAATAGAAGACAGGTGTTCAGCTCTGCTCATCTACAGACCTACTTCAAGGTCCTTCTTTGAATCATTCGGACCTGTCTGCAAGCAATTTTTTCCCTACACACACAAAGTCCTTTGCACTTTGGGTTAGGTTGGTTGATCCCCAGGCAGCAGATGGGTAGGTGGTCTTTCCTTCCAGTTGACATTTGATTAGATGCTGTAGTTGTCTTGAACTCTCTGGGTAAATCTACACTACAACATTTTTATATCAGTTTAACTGTCATGGTTTCTTCCCAAAGAATCCTGGGAAATGCAGTGTGATAAGATGCTATTTTTTTGCTAGAGAATCATGGTGAAATAACAGGGAATTACGATTAATACCAGTTTAAATCCATAATTGTAGACCAGCCATCCCCATCCCGGTGCTCACTAGTTGTTCTGGACTGGAGCTTCTAGCAGACACCAGCCCAGGGAAAGTGGGTACAGATACACCCTCAATTTGTGCAGTAAATGTGACAGTTTTCCACCCTAGCATGCAGATATTAATGCTGCTAAAAGGAAGGCATCTTCTGCACATTTTTCCTCATATGGAAAAAGGGAGCTAGCATCTTTCTGTTCAGCTAAGGAAAAGAAGAGGAGGAGGAAGCAGGTTGATAAAGTAACATTCTGGGAAAAGATTTCCAGTGTAGCATGACCTTTTCGTCAAGTAAGATGTTTGTGAGATTTCCTGTATTAATGAATCCAAAGGGATGCTAAAGGGCCACTCATTTTAGTGGAGAGCAAAAAGGCTTTACTGCTGCATTTTTCTATTTCTCCCTTGTGAAACAGACTCCGCAGTTGTATTACTGGCATTATGAAGAAAGAAAGGCCTGGCTGCAAATCAATTATTTTGTTAGTACTGGTAACTTTCTCTCTCTCTCTCTCTCTCTCTCTCTCTCTCTCTCTCTCTCTCTCTCTTCTGCATGCCTGCATCCATCCAGCTGGGGGCTGGCTCTTGGGTAGACAGGCCAACGACGTCACGGAAAAGCCCTGTCTCTGATCAGATGGCTTAATATAAACCAGGTTTGCTGAGGAAGAATTAGAGAGGCAGCCCCGAACAGAAGAAGGATTTTCTGTGGGAGACTGTTACGGGATTCAGCTCTGAGAACTAGGGACTCGACTGTGCTTGGAACAGACAGTTAAAAAAAAGCAACAAGGTAGTGTTGGCTTGACAAGCATGAATTTGAATGTGTTTCTTTAGCATCATAGCCACGTAAGTAGATTGACAAAAGCCAAATGTTTGAAGAAATTCTGCAATTTGTACTCAACCTAACTTTATTTCTTCAAGTATCAGCATAGTAGACAGCGAAAAGCAACAAGTGGTGAGCTACTAAACCCAAAGGAAGATTGCATTTTTTCTATCCATTTTTAACAGGGTGGTAAACATGAACTAGAACTAGATTATACTAGCAAATGTGTGTATGTGTTAGGTGAGTTCGGTATGATTTTTAGTTGCACACACTGAAGTGACTGGAGTAGGCAAGGACAGTCTTGGGAGCACACAGTATCTTTCTCTTCTGCATTCCTTTGTATCCTTGTGCATCTCTCGACCGAAAACACAGGCAAGGTTGCTGGTGTGATTCTGCCGGGAGCTGTGAGAGCCTGCGAGAGAATGCATATTTGAGTGGCATGGAGTGTCAGTTGCTGCTTTGCTACTTACATTTGCTGTCCAAAAATCCACCCAAAGCCCCCACCCCTGCATCGCTTTGTAAAGTTCTCAGGAGCTTGTCCAAAAGACAAAGCAAGTGCAGAGGTTTTTGAAAGACAGCTGAACTTGCAAATACCTCTGTGCATTAAACTTTCAGAATGGCCTTCTGCCGAGTTCCCTCTTTGGCAAATGCTCTGTTTGTTAGAAGCGATATGAACTGAGAAAGCTCAAGCTTAAGGTTGAATAAACCAAATGTCTAAATAGCTGTCACAGTTGGAGCTGGGAGTCATCAAAGAAACTTTCCTAAAGAAGGTCAGCTGCAGAAGATACTGGCCATCAGGGATTGCCATTACCTCACAGCTTTGCCTCCCATCCGTGATGAGTAGCCCTCCTGACAAAGTGCAAAGAAAAGCCATCTTCAGACAAAGGGAAGCACCCAACTCTTCTGAGCTGAATTCTGGCCTTTCCAGCTGCTCAGACCTCTCATGCAATAGACACTGATGGTTTTTATTTGGGGTGTTTCCTCTTCCCTGTTACAGAACCTTGTCCTACAACTGATTTTAAGAGGTAAGGAGCAAAAGGGTTTTAGATACGCAGTGCCAATGAAGACAATGAAAAACTAATGGAAAAAATAAACCCCAATTATGTAAGTAGCATCTGGCTCCTGCAGCACAATGCAAGGGAGAACTTAACAGCTATCTGTGAAAAAAAAAGCCTAAACTGCTATGATCTGGCATAGAAGCCAGTTTCATGATTGCTTCTGATGATTTATTCCAAGTGTGATAACTATGACAGATGACCAGTATACTCATCCAGGGTATTGCTCATCCACAAACCATACTTTCAGGCTGAGGAAGGAGGCAATCCACTTTTGGAATTGCTGCTAGTCCATATGAGCAACTGGGGCTGGCACAGGCAGAGGGCAACTGTCATGCCTAAGTAGGATTGTGGCTCAAAGCCTTCAGAATAAGACCTTAGCTGCTTCTTTAAGGAGCTATTTCCTTTTTCTGGAGTGCCTTCCTGCTGTTGAAACTTCTAGCAGCCTGCTGGGGAAGACCCAGGTGTTACAAAATCCTGACTCTTGGACACTTCTAGATAAGGTATACCAGGTAAAGTGTGAAGCAATGCAGTCTATTTGCACAGGCCAGACTTGTAATTTCACTGTCATTTTTTTTTTTTTTGACCAGGAGGGGAAAAGCGATGACTCTGAACAATGTCACGATGCGTCGCAGCAGTGGAAACATGCAGCCGCTGCACCAGCGTTGGAGCATCCCAGCAGATGGGAAGCATCTGGTGGTCCAGAAAGTCCCACATGAATGCAGCCAGCACAAAAGGTACACCATGAACCCTGAAGAATATTACCGAAGAAGCTGGTCGTCGGAGTCTTCCGATTCTGTCATCTCCTCCGAGTCCGGAAACAACTACTACCGGGTGGTCCTCATCGGGGAACAGGGAGTTGGCAAAACGACCATTGCTAATGTCTTTGCCGGCGTGCATGACAGCATGGACAGTGACTGCGAGGTGCTGGGAGGTAGGTCATGATGTTTCACACCACTGAGGTTTATCTAAAGCCTCTTGGGTCAGCTGGGATTAGCTTTAAGAACAGGACATTAACTGGGAGCTCCTGACAGCGGGGTGGTGCCTCTCTTGGCTCCCATCCTCCAAGCTGATTTCAGCATCTGGGTGTTTAGAAGCTGGGGCGGCCGTGGGGATAGGAGATGCTGCAGATCTGAGCGCTGGCAGGCACAACGTTCACTCTGCCAAACGAACAGAAAGGAAGGAAGAAGGGATTCTTGCTTATTAATTAATTAATTACATTTTTTTCTATCCTGACCTTCCTTTGACAACCTCATGGCAACCTGCAGTCACAACAGTGGAGCCCTTGTGCCGTGAGTGTCGCAGCTCAACCGGCGTTCTCTAGTTAGGCGCAATGTAGGCACTTCCTTCCCAGCTATGGCATCATGTTCTCAGTGGCAGACCAGACCAGCTTAAGCGTAAAGAAATGTGATGGGTTTTCAAAGTGTACAACTGGCAGATCAGAGCAAATTGCAAAGCAGGGTAACCACGTTCAGAAACAATAGTTACTGGCTTAAAATATAAATTCTTATGTCAAAAGTAAAATTTCTTTGATTCAGTATTAGTCTAATATGAAATAAGGAAGAAAGGCATATCATGGAGTCAAATGAGAAAATAAATCTGGTGTAAAAGGATTATTAGAATGTACAGCTAAATTGACAACCATGTTGCAATAGTTTGATCAACATCAAACTAGAAATGTCTAAGCAAAATGAAGAGGTTACCTTAAAAGAGGTTTGCAACTACATCAGGAGGTTAACAGTGCAGTCTTATGGCTATCACTTTTTAAACTGATTTTTAAAATATTGAATACATATTTGTATTGCATCTGTCTGTTCTGTATGGTTTTTATCTGATATTCTGAGAGGCTTCAACCCTTAAAGGTGGCCCAGAAATAATTTTAAATAAAATATATAAGAGCAGCGGACAAGTTCTTGCCTTGAACGATCGTTTTAATCCTAAACTGATGATCCAGAGTTTAGAACAACCTTCCCTAACCTAATAGTCCAATAGAAGGTACCATGTTGTGGAGGGGCTGGTTTGAAGAGTGAAACCAATTTAAACCCCTGAATCTCTGACTAGCAGTAGTATGTTGATGGCTGTAGGCCTTTTTCTAACCAAACATGTGTAGGATTGCATGCTTACTTAATCAACGAAACCCCATATGATTGATTGAGCAACAATTTTTTTTCATCTGAGTGATGGTCTTAATCCAGAAGTTGCATCATGAACTTGAAGCTGTCAGTTCCACATTTTGTGCCTCTGTCCGAACTCATACTTTGAAACCCTATCTGGCCATTCTGTAGGTGGGCACAGATAGGCAAGCTAGCAAACATAATGTTGCATTTCCCCTTAACATGTGAAGAACTCTTCTAATGATCAAAGTGCCATGAAATTCATTTCTCAGCATTTATGTCCCCATCTTACTTTGGAAAAAGACAAAGCTAAGAATCATACACTATAACGACTCTGAAGACCCTAAAGTTAGTGGTGTAGTGGAACCAGGGTTCAAAGGGCTCAGGACATTTTGATTAACAGGGAGGATTACATAATTTGCCACCTTACTCAGGCTTTCCTTTCAGGGCCCTCTGAGCTTACCTGCAATTCTCACAGTAGCTGGGGCAGGAGAACAAATTTCCTTAGCAGAGATATATAGTTGTGAGCTCTCTTTAACAGAATGCAAAACATTCTGGAGAGGCCTGGTTTGAATAAACAATTGGTTTAAATTTGGCTAGCTCCTGATAGAGATGGAGACTGCTAGAACTAGTTGAACACAGACCAACCCAACTGCCTGTATGTATGGGCTGAGTTCAGAAAATACAATCACCTACAGCCAATGGCTGAATGTGGGTTGTCTTTGAACGATGGGCTATTCTGTTGTCTGAACACTACTGTGCTAACAAGCCATGGCCTGTTAACCATGGACAACTCATGACGAAAAGCCATGATTTGTTTCTGGGTTGTTCACCATGGTTAGGGTCAAATGATAACCCACATTCTGATAACAACTCATGATTTAATGGCAATCCACATTCAACCTGTGCTCAGGCCTTGAGTGTGGGTTATCATAGTGCCTGAACGCAATCACTGGATTTTCTGTGGGGAGGGGCTTGGCACGGGCTGTCATGATGAGTGCCCGTACTCCAGAATACACCACCGCTCACAGTGGCTGAAATCAGTGCCTAGCTTGTAAGCATGAGGTCAGGGACTATGTTATTTTTGACCTTTCTAAGCAATATGGGGAATCTTTTTCAGATTTATTAAATAAACATATAATAAATCAATAAAGGCTATCTAATAAACTTGAAAGAAACAACAGAATAGATAAAGCAACAACAAAGAAAAACATGCCATGGCCAAGAGTTTGTATTTCCCTCATCTTCCAGGCAACGGGAGGAAAAACCAGGACTCCTACCCTACCAGTTGCATTACAGGGCAGTGCTAGCTGATTGCTCATGAGCTTCATCAGCGCATCTTACTGCTGATTAATGTTGCAGCCTCGAATTTTGTTTATTCTGAGAACTAATAGGCATTAGAATATCGTTCTTTGCTGTGTGGGTGGAAGGGGGAAAAAGATATACAATGTTAGGATCTTCTATTCACCATTTTAAAATGGTACACACACACACGTTCACGCATTCCAGTCTTCAGCAAGCAAGTGACATTTCTTATCCCCCCCCCCCACAACCAATTTGCAAGCTTGTGGCAACTCCAAAATTTGCAAAATACAAAATAAATACATAGTTGGAATTATTAGGTTAAGAAACAACCTAATGAAATCTGGGTGCACTCAGTGGCCACGGAATATTTATTAATGTATTTATTTAATGTCTATTTTGCCCAATAGCTGAAACTGTCTGGAGAGTTTGCAACAATAGATAAAAATACAGTATAAAATACCAACACATTAAAACATCCCAAAATGATTACCATGCAAAAATGTAAAACTAAATTTAAAAGACATGTTAAAATGTTTTAATGACTCATACAAATCAAATCATAAGATCTGTTTAAGCAGTTAACAAAGCCCAGGTAAACTAGTTAAATGACAGGAGACTGTCTTAACCTGATGCTGAAATGATATTATGGTTGGTGCCAGGCAGGCCTCAGTGGGGGCCTTGTTCCAGAATTTGGGGGCCACCACTGAAAAGGCCTTTCTCCTTGTAGCCACCAACCAGGACTCACCTGGAGGTGGGAACTGGAGGCAGGCCCCCAAATTTGATTGTAGCGTCCAGGTAGATTGAGGTTGAGAGAGGCATTCCATCAGGTACTGAGGTCTCAAGCTATGTTGGGCTTTATGGGTGACAGACCTTGAATTGGGCTTGGAAGCATGGGCTGGTGATAGCCAATGGTGTTATATGTCTGACCATCTGGTCCCTGTTATTAATCTGGCTGCCACATTTTGCACAAAGTGCAGCTTCTGGATGGTCCTCAAGGGTAGCCCCAACCAGGAATGCATTGCAGTAATCTGAGGGATTGCAGTAATGTTGACCAACTGGGGAAACTTGGACGGAAGGTTTGGAACAGAGCGAGCAGACAGAGAAGCCACAATCCATCTACAGCGCTGGCCCTGTCAGCAGGCAGAACGAGGCCGTCCCCTCAGGCAGACGTGAAGGGGAGCAGCAAAGGGCTGGTGGAGGTCTGCCTGGCGCTGCCGCAGCTGGCCTGCTGCCTTCTGGAGTGGGAGAGGATGCTGCTCCAACTCCACTGCTGAGGAGGAATTCAGTGGCTTCCCCATCAGCTTCATGCGGAATGGGAGCAGTGCCACCTTGGTCTTTGCCTCAGGCAGCAGGCTGTCTTGGCCCTGTCTTGTCCACAGTGCAACGGTTCTCTGTCCTCTACAGCGATCCATCATCACATTCATGAAAGGTCTCCTCTTTACTGATGCATAACAGAAGCAATCGAATAGCTGAGCATTTATTCATTATATGAATATCCCATCTTTCTTCTGTCACAGAACTCAAAAGTGTCATTCAAGGTCTGAAAATGTTCCTCTGGGATCTAATCTCAAAAGGGATTCCACCCTGCCTCATTGTAATCTGGAACCATGCCAGAAACATGGAGCTGCAAAAGACACGTGGCAGAAATATTTTATTTATTTGTTTGTTTATTTATTTCTGTAGTTTTAAATTGCCTAATGACCAAAGTTCTCTGGGTGCTGTGCAATGCATTAAAAACATGAAATGCAAACGTTAACACAAAGAATACAAACAGCTTCTTGGGTGTTTCCCATCCAGGCACTGAGCAGACCCAGACTTCCTTAGTTATAGTTGTATTTTCTCACATGGTAATGTGACAACAGAGCAGGACCTGAATACACTAAAAGGGAGAACTTGGCCTGATTATGCCCAAATTAGTTGTGTTAAAATCTTTGCAGGAGAAGAGGAGGAGTAAACCTATGTATGACACCCCACTTCCAATTTTCATTTTAATTTCTGGCAAGGGATTAGGTATCTGTGTGTAACTTTAGGACATTTTTAAAATGTTTATCTCATTGTGCCTCATTCTATAAGAAGTGGAACATGTTGCTTCCTGGCTTACAATAGGAAAAAAGAAAACAAAAATTAAATGGAACAGACAATAATTTGAGAAAATTCATGAACAATTCATGTATCCCTGGGGCCTTTAAAATTCTCTAAATTACACATTGGCTTTTGCACATAATCTTTACCCTCAAGATATTCATGCTGTGTTGCAGACAGTGGAAACATAAAGGAAAGTCTTTGCCTCATCTATTTTCACACATTTATCATATTTAGCTAGAAGCATTAATACATGTTGCCAGCTTAACATTCTGTCAGCCTGGTTCTGAAAAAGACCAGTCTCCCTTGCTTCTGTCCACACACTTTTGCCCCAGGATAAAGCAGCTTGATTTGAGTTGCTCGCAGCAGCGATGTCTGTTCACCCATAAACTGAGTGAAAACAAATATTTTCCATTACTAAGTTTGGCTGGAGTCTGTTGGTCTGTCTGCAGCTCCCACGGGGTCAAATGTTCACGACTGAGTTTATTTCTTCCAGTGCCTCTTCTTTTTCCTGCTCTTCCTATCCTTCTTAGAATAAGGATAACATCAATCAAAAAAGTTTATGTGATCATTTGCCTTAGAGACCTTATTGTTTCTATCTTTCACGGAAATCATAAAATCTTTGTTGAAGTCTGCTCTCTGAAAAACCAAAACAAAGTTATTTTTTTCCGGGATTTCCCCCCTCTTCTCAGAAGAAGAAAAATCAGCCTGTGCAGGCATTTGCAGAGAGGGGTGCAATGAGAGATGCTGGGAAAGCAACGGGCAGAAAAGCATCCTAGGCTGGCAGTGCTTTGTGCTGTTGGGTGCCACAAAGGAATGGATTGATTATATCCAAGTTTATGGCAAGAGTATATTTGGCTTCCAAACAGATATAGTGAGAAAAATATATCCTGAGATATTTCTCTTTACTGTGATAGTATTATAGGAGGCTCAAATCATAACTAATTTAAGAAAAAGATAGTTTGGTACAAAGGGGCATTTAAGCTTCTGAGTTTCATATAACACTTTCTGAAAGGCAGAATAGGAATGTATGGTTTCTGGGATGAAGAGTTCTGTGAAACACAAAAGGGTACATGCATGCTAGCCCTTTTCAAAAACGGGAGAGGGCCACACTTGCTAGTTTACTTCTAGTTTTCCTAACGAGCCCGTGCTGAATGCAGGATTCTGCCTGTGTTCCTCATTGCACAAAGGGTTCATATCCACTGCCAGTTCTCCGTTCAGCAGAAGGAGGTCAGGATTTGGGGCTGGATCATGAGAGGACTTTGAGAGCTGAACCAGAATGTATGGCTCCATCTCTCCAGCCTGTGCTGACATACCCTGTTCAGGCACAGCACCTGAACCAACCCAAGCTGGCTTTATAGTGAAATGCCTTTACTTTGGAACCAATTCACTAATGACTATCAATATAATTATAGGAATCCATTTAGTTCTGTTTCTTCCAACATGAGACTCTTGATTACATGGTATTTTAAAACTGAGGCTGTTTTTCCCTGTTCTCTTTTTAGAAGACACCTATGAACGAATCTTGCAGGTAGATGGTGAAAGTGCGACAGTCATGCTTCTTGACATGTGGGAAAACAAGGTAAGTATTTGGAGTCATTCTGCAATGCAGAAGCTTATGAAACATTGGTTTGGAAATCTGACTTTTGTGGCTATCTATGCATAAATCTTAAGGGATTTCTGTTTCAAGAAACTGTTAGACAATGTGAAGTACAAAATTCAGTAGTTCTAACTTTTTTAAAAGGCCCTTAAATTGGACCTGACATTGAAAAAGAAAGGGCAAGGGAGGAAGCTGTGGTGAGTGCAAAAGGTCTTGTGGTTGAGCCATTCACTTTGGTCACTCCAAAGAGCCGCTTGGACACTTGCTGGAGTGGCTGTCCCTGATCGCCTGAACAAGCTTGGCAAGAGTTTCCCCCTCCCCCTCCCTGCTCTGCTGAGCGGTTTACTGGCATCTTTTCTGGACCTATAATGAAGGTGGTTGTCCAGGTTTAGATGACCTGGCAACCCATTGTGGGTCCAACAACCCCCACTACAAATCCTGAGTTCTCATGTCATCCAGACCTGGGCAACTGACTCCATCATGGAGTCAAGTATCCCGGATTCAGCTTAATGGATTCAAGCTGAATTTTACAAGGCCACTGTGTCAGTCTAGTGAGAACTTCATTCACCCTAGAGAGCACCTTCTTCCTTACCAGTCTGTCCCATCACTGAGGCCATCGGAGGGCATGCTCCAAGTGACTCCACATGGACTGTGGCCTGATTGGAGTCCAATGGAGCCTTAGTGTGGTGGCTCCATTTCTCTGGACTTCCTGCCTCTGGAGCTCAGGAGGATACCAACACTGTGTAGTTTTCTTGATTTTGTATGTAACATATTGTTTCGTTCTTTTACCTGTTTATCTTTTATTGTTTACTGCTTTGGATTCTCCATACAAGAATATGAAGTGATATATAAGTCTTGTTAAATTAATAAATAATGTACAGCAAAGCAGTCAGGCCACTGGTCTATTCAGTCCTGATTGGTAGGTGTTATATCCAGTCCTGATTGAGGCTATATCCAGTCCTGGAGCCACATCCTGGAGTCTCACAGAGTGTTGAATTCTGAGACAGGTGGATCCTGTGACTGGTTGCTGGGGCTGGCCCTCGGCTTCTGAGCTTTACCTGAGGTGACCAGTCACAATGGAGGACGGAACACCAACATATTGAATTGTTGTGTGCAAGTGGAATATTTAGCAGATGTTCCACCAGGCCCCAACACCTATTGGACTCCTTATGAGAAAGGCCCTGGGTGCTCCTTGACCAGTTTTTGAGGATGGTCCTGGGTGCTCCTGTTTTTGAGGATGGGGCACTTCCAGGAGGGAGGGCCCTCATCATCCTCATAAGAGTTAGCAGCCAGCAGCAGTGGAATGTCTGGAGGGTGTAAGCTGTGGAATAATACCCAAGGTAGTCTTCCCTAACCTGTCCCCCTCCAGACATATTGAATGGCAGTTTCCACCATCTCCAGCCACCCTAGTCACTGGCTGTGCTGGCTGAGGATGGTGGGATCTATAGCCTGAGACATCTGGAGAGCACCAGAGTGAGAGAGGCTAATCTATGTCATGCCCTGACCACCCTCAGCCCCAGTCACTGACAACAGGCATTTTCCACATGGTGCATTTATCATGCACTTGACCATTCCCAACTCGTGGTTGTTCACAGGTTCTTTTAGATAATGTTGTGATTTCCAATTTCACTCTGTGTCTAAAGAGCACTTTCAGAGAGTGTCTTTTGTTTGCTTTGTTTTTAAGGGCAGGGAAAATACCGTATATCATAATGATACAACAAAGAAATGTTTTCTCTTGTATTTGTGCTATTTCACTACACTACAGTGCCACCTAGAGATTATGTAGCAGAAAATCAGGAAAATTAATGTTCCTTAGCATGTGGATCTCAGTTCTGTGATGATACCAAAATGAGATAAAGTGGATTAACAACTGGTTAACTGCCTTGCATAAAAAAGCTCAGTATTAGGTGAAGGTTTTTGCCCCAAAAATTCATAGATATTTTTGTGTACACTCCTCATAATGCATGTATTTTTGCATGCAATTTTTACCAATATACTTATTTTGTTTGCAAGGCAATTGTTTGCAAGGCATAATGCATTTCTGAATTTTGTTTTCAGTAATGTGCGTTTTTTGGTGTACTTTCCCTAACAAAAACATGGTTGCATGTAGTTTTGATTTGTCCACTGCACTGTAGAATTCGCTCGTCTTCCTAGCAGGTACAGTGTATGCTTTCTCATGTTTCTGGATAAAGACAGCCAGCAAATGTATGTCTGAATTTATTGGGAAAGGAGGTCTTGGTATTCAAAGGCAAAGTTCACATACAGATTTGAGTCCTAAATTAACTACTGGCTGCCCTCATTCTAATCTGTGAACTTCACAACAAAGACAATGAAAGCATTTCTTATGATCGTAGTATATGTTTCTGTGATAAAATTTTTTATTCTGGGATGTTTTGTTCCAAATAAGTAATCTAGAATTTGTTGACCCTTGAATATGATGCCTTTTATTTGAATAGGGCAAAAATGGATGGCTCCAAGATCACTGCATGCATGTTGGAGATGCTTATTTGATTGTCTACTCCATCACGGACCGTGCAAGCTTTGAGAGAGCATCTGAGCTCAGAATTCAGCTCCGCAGAGCACGCCAAGCTGAAGACATTCCTATTATTTTAGTGGGCAACAAAAGTGACCTAGTTAGATGCCGTGAAGTCTCTGTGTCAGGTATGAACCATGAGACTGGTTGCTCCTGCTGTTGATTCCACTTCTACTATTTTGATTTTGACATTAATTCTGCTCTGAGGGTTCATGATCTTGGGCAAGTTACATTACAAATGTTAGATTAATTGTGCCTTTCTCCAAAGAAACTCTGGGAAGTATCAGTCCTCAGCCCATTATCTGCACTGGCTGAGGTGGCAAAGTTGCAACAGGCTCCCTTTCAGCATGCCAGTCTCTCCCACCTCATCCCCATTTTTAAAGGTAGTATTAGCAGCACTATGGGTCCTCTTGCAAAATTCTGGTGTACATCTGCCTCGGAGATCTTCACTTGCTTTAGATATCCTTCGATTCTTGGCTATTCTGAAAGAGCTAAACCATGTTCAAAATTTGCACAATGTGAAGAATGCCATCAAAATCACAAAGTGTAGTTTAAAATAAACTGACTAGCATACTTTTAACCTTGGAATTTGGGTCTCTTGGCACAGAAGGGCCAAGTCTTGAAGAAAGAGTGGAGGCAGGGGAGGCTGTAGCTAGTGCAGAAATTTAGCAGAGGAATTCGTGGCCTGCATTGCTTGTAGAATCTCCAGGCTTGGAAGCTTTCATGCCCACCCACAGAGCGTGAGACAGGCTGATGTGCCTGAGTTCATATCACTCAAGTGTGGACTTTTCTGTTGTTGATTTAACATCCTGAGAGTCTTGGCTTTCGTTTTTCAAAAGAAGGCTTTAATCCTCAAGGATGTGAAGATAGGTTTAACCTTTAAAAGTGGTGCCAAGTGAAATTTCAGAAACACAAAGTTGAGAGAGGAGACTAAGAGTCAGTGCCCTCCATAACCATTGTCCAGAAGCACTTTAAAATTTACAAAAGAAGGAGATTTATTTAAATATGATAAATTTGCTTAGTCAATGGTGGTGCAGTACTTTCATTTATTGCTAGTGTGAGCACAACCCTGAATATATGGAATAAAGTAGCCTCCACCAAATTGGCCAAAGGCCCTGCTGCATGATGATGATGGGAGTTGTAGTCCAACACATTGCAGGGGGACTAGCTTGAGCATACATAATCTTCTGGATTGGTGTAGGCAAATCACTGTGCTGTCATTTATTTTTTCCCTATTAATTTACAGCCTATTTGTCTTTCATTTGCTTTCCAAAGAACCCACAACATCCAGTTAGTGTGCTGACACATACTCCTTAATTTTTTCTCAGAGGGACGAGCCTGTGCAGTCGTGTTTGACTGCAAGTTCATTGAGACCTCGGCGGCTGTCCAGCATAATGTGAAGGAGCTGTTTGAAGGCATTGTGCGTCAAGTGCGGCTAAGAAGAGACAGCAAAGAGAAGAATGAGAAGAGGCTTGCTTATCAGAAGAGGAGAGAGAGTATCCCTAAAAAAGCCAGGCGATTCTGGGGCAAAATTGTAGCCAGGAAGAACAAGAACATGGCCTTCAAGCTGAAGTCCAAGTCTTGTCATGATCTCTCTGTTCTCTAAGAACTTTGGATGGCACAAACATTCGCTTTCAGGAAGGTTGTTCAACTCCATTGTGAATGATAAGTCAATCTATATTAGATTGGTCCACGAGAAATGTCAATCTGACGGATTCACAGTTGCGATTATTGTGATGAAAAATGTCCAGAATAAGTGCAGCCTAAAGCACGCATGGAGGAAGAAATGCCATTTATATTTTTCGGTTTAGAGTTTAAGTGTGTGAGTGTGTTGGCTGGGGTAGAGGATTTTTGTCTTATATACAAGAACATTCCAAACTTACATGCAGTGTGTCTTAGAAAAGAAACCGCTTCCCTTGTTGCCTTTTTAGAAAATGGCCTAAGAATTGGAAGGCATCATTTCAAAAACGGATGGCCTCTTTTCATTATTATTTCTTGCTAGTTCTATAAGCCAACATCAAGGGAAATGGGCAGTGTCTGAGATGTCCTCTTCCTGATCAGCCAGTTAATTTTCTTAAGTGCCCATAGCTGAAAATCTTTGTTGTTACAATATCATTTATCCCAATGGCTTAGAAAAATATCAATAGCATGCTGATGATGTTTGGATAAATAGGAGCACTATTTAATGATAGCCAAAGATATGGAGGATAAGGATACATTGCCAAAGATATGGAAGATAAGTCTGAGGTTCAGTCACAAGAAGTATTGAATAGCTGAAGTTAGAATACAGGGAGCTTTAACTGCTTAACTGTATAATGAGCACTGAAGCTTTTCCTTGATTATCTCTAGAGCCCTTCAGTTCTCTTAAAAACACAGGGTTGGACCTGGATTTGCACACAGTAAGGTCCTGTCAGTAGTAAAGGAGGGGGCAAAGTAGCAGATATTATCTACTTTTCCTCTCCTCTGCAGCCATTGGTGCCTCCTAACAAGCTGCTCCAGGGAAGGGGTGGGGGCTGTTAGAACAACACTGGGGGCTGCAGGAGGTAGGAGAGCTGGTAAGCATCTTAGCTTGTCCTCATCCTCTACTGCAGGTTCAGGCAACATGCAGTTTGTGGGCTGCATGTGGCCCCTGCTGCCCTCTGCAAGTATTAAAAGAAAGCCAGATTAAAACAAAATGGTGTCTAGAGTGGCCATTCGGAAGCCCTTCTGACCATTTTTGTGCTCTAAAGCTACCACAGGGCACTGAAAATGTCAAACATAGCTCGAAAGGAGCTTGTCCCTTGCTGTGCTCCATCGCCACACCGGATGCCGTTTGCAATTATTTCATTTTTTCTGCACTGTGCAGGGAGAGGTGTGCCTTGCAGTGGCAAAGTTTGGTGGGTAGAAATGCTCCCTGGACCTTCCAAAAGTTGCCCACCCCTGATCCTTCTGTTTGCAGAGGGGCAACCCACATTTACAGGAGAAACCTGCAACATCACTTTCCATGCTGGCATTTCACAGAACTGTCTAAAATAATGGAAAAAGTAGAAAATGTAAGATACAAAATCATTTGCAAGATGCCATTTTTTTCTGGAGGTGGGATCTCCTTTTATAATAAATTACAGAGAGATTTTGTGCTCAAATCTAGTATTTGTATTATGCCATTACTGTTTGTATTTATTATTTTTCAACTATTGTATTTTAATAGATGAAGTATAGCAATGGGAGGGATGGGGAAGACATAGTTTGGAGATATATTTATTAAGTGATTTCTTAAGAAAAAAAGTTGATTTTATTACCATTTTCTATATATCTTTTAGATTAAGCAACATTTTATTTACATGTTGGTAATAAATCAATAAAAGGTTTCACTGCCATTGAACCAAATATGAAATCTGAAACATTTGCTCTTTTGATAGTGATATTTAAGTTCAGCTGCTAAACGAAAAGAGTTTGATGCGGAGTTACCCGCAAAGAAAATATCAAATAGCCTAGCTTGATCCTACCTAAAGTAACTTGGGTTTTCACTTGTCCGAGGTGCATGATCTGATTCCATCAGTAGGATTTGCTTGCTGCACTGTCTACCCAACCTAGAAAGGTAAGGAGGGCTTGCTGGATCTGCCCAAAAGCCTGCCTGGTCCTTAGGGTGTGAACAGCATCGTGCTCACTCCGTGGCCCTCCAGCTGCCTATGCAGAGCTCCAAGTAAGACACAAATGCAGCAGTGCCACCCACTCATGGAGTCCAACAACTGTGTAGGTGTGTAGGCTGCCTGCACAGGGCAGCTCCAGCCGTCGTGCTGAGTAGCCCATGAGGTCTTTATCCTCCACGCATTTCTCTAATCCCCCTTGAAAGCCATTCAACCTGCTGACCATTTTGTGGTGGCAAATTTCCTAGGATGTGTGAAGTATTTCGCAGGGAAAGGGCACTGTTCCTACCAGCGGTGGGACAGTGATACCGTGCTGCTTGAACACACATGACAATCACTGGGTAAATATTAAGGTTGTGAGATGATCTGTTTTGCTGGGTAGTTTTGCTTTCAGATGCAGCTTTTTAGGAAGTGCTTATAGTAATAGAAATAAGCATTTGTGGAACCTCTAAGGAAATATCTTTAAGGGACATGTGATGGCGGTAGATCTGTCTTCTCAAACATAGTTTGCACCTGGCAGCTGTGGAGCAGGATGGGGGGGGGGGGGATGGAATTGGGCAGAGGGGGCGGGGGGGAGGGGCGCCAAATGCTCTGCCTACTGTTTCCCCCTGCAAGAGCCTCCAACTACTTTTCTCACAAGTGTACTAAGGTGGTCACCTAGAACTTGTGCAATCATAGTCCTTACTCAAGGTTGTTTACCAGTTCTTTAAATGATGTCATGATACTCCTGTTTTTTAACTTCATTACCCCCTCACACACTTTTTTTAAATTTTTATTTTGCACACTTTATTATCAAACTTCATTACACACTTTATTATCAAACACACTTTATTGTCAAAGTGAAATAAAAGTACTCATGCAATTGCATCATTCCACTAAAGCACAGAGGCATCTAGAGATCATGGAATGGAAAAACAGGAACAGAAAAGCTTTTTGTGTAGAGCTTGGATCTCAATTCTGTGAAGAAATGGCAAGTGAATGCAGGGAGCATTAACTCCCTCATGTAGAAAAGCTCTTATTCATCACTCAAAAAGATTTGTATCAGATTTGCACACACTAATTTACATGTATAGGTGCTAATTACTACTGTTTAAACAGAAATCCCATACATCTCACCATTTTGGGGAAGGCCAGGCCCAGGTGACCTCTGTGTCAACTCAGCCTGCTGTCCATGTGCCAGCTAGCCTTGGGCAACTTTAAGGCCCCAGTGGCTCCCCTCCTTAGGGTTCTTTCTTTTGAAACTGAACTTGGGCAGCACAGTTCTTCAGTTAGGTCACACCTTCTGTCCACCTAGGCCACTCTGCGGTGAGGAGTCTACCCAGCAAAGAAAAAAATGTTCCATAGGAAGAGCTGTAAGGGGGGAAATGTTGGGAAGAAGAAGGGCGTCAGCATTCTCCATCTGCCCAGTGTTTCTGGTGCTTCCAGATGAGCTTTCCATTATGCAATTGCCCTGCCTCATTCATGGAAAGTTACTGGGATGTGGTATCCAGACATCATCAACTTCTAGCTTTTGTAATCCTCCTGTGTTTTCCCACTGCTCTTTCTGCCTTTTTCCTCACCTCAGCAAATCCTATAAAGTGGGAGAGACAGAGAAGCATCATGTCTTTCAACAACAGGGTTGGGAACCCCTCCCTCTGGAAGTACCCTTTGTTTGAGAACAGAGGATAGGTGCCATCACAGACCCCCACGGAAATGGTTTCTGAAGAAAGATTGGAGATGTATCAGCAATGAATCTACAGAAAAGCAGAGTCGTCCCTGGGTCAGCTGAGCTAGTGAGTCAGTCCAACAAACTGCAAAAAATGTATAAACACTGGAGTTTCAGGGATAGAAACTAATAAGATAATTGCAACGTCATCTATTGAGTTCTGGCAGTAGCTTTGGAATCCGTGAGTCATAGGCCTGAGTGAATGACGGCACCAATGCTGAATCTATGGCGTGTCTGCATAATAAAGCAAACAGAGAAGCATATGAGTTTGTGATCATGTGAAAAAAGCAGTCACTGTAATAACTCTCTTTCAAAAGGAAAGATTAAACTGGCAAACTGAATTAGATCTCCACTGGAGAATGTCATCTCAGTAGGTAGAAAAAGGCAAGCAGAATATTGACAGTCAGCCAAAAGATAAGGAAAAATATAATCCTATTGATCAGTAAAACCCTAGTACACTCAGACACTGTCCTATTGAAGCATGCCTATGTCACTCCAAGACTTTCAAGATGGAGGTTCTTTAATTTATTTGCTTTTTTATTTAAAATATTCATATGTTATCTTTCAGGTCAGAAGCATTATCAAGGAGGGTGGCCTACAAGGAGGGTGGCCTACAATCCTTCCAATATTGCATCTTGGAAAAATCAACACAGTGATAAAACAGCAAAAGTATTAAAAACAACATATACCAGCAATAAAGCATCTGGCCTAGCTAGTACTCTAATCTATAATATGGTTGTAGCAATAAACCAGAATGGTCCAATACAACATAATCAATAGAGGGCCTGAAAAAAAAAACCTTCAGGCAGGAGGGTCTCTTCAGAGAGTCAAATGGGACCCTCCCCACTAAGAAACTATAAAAAAAATGCAATGCTTAATTGCATGGTCTTTGTCAATTAAATTCTTCTGTGTGAATTAGGCTAAGCCACAGTCTTTAGGTTGCTTCTTTGCATGTCTGAGTCTCAAGTCATCTTTTCATTCAGGTCTCTCTGAAACTATCATCCAAGCTTGTCTGTAGACAAGCCACTCACAGGGCAAGCCTTCCTTGCTCCAGACTTCCTTCCTACAGGGAAGGACAACCACATAAATTTAGGGGCTGGCTCCTGAGTCTGATGTAATTTCTCTCTGGCCAACTTTGCCCTATTCAAGCAGGGCCAGTATAGGACCTGATGACCATTGTGGGGAGAGAAGGGACCATTCCAAACAGCAGATTCTCTCTCCCTATGGTGTCTGCAAGAGGACTGGTACATCTACTTGGTGTGAAGGAGAGGCCTGATTTAGCAGGTTTTGATGCTCAAATTTATACCCCTTTGCCCACTTCTTCCCAGGACCCATGTTCTCATGTGGGTCCAGGGAGCTCCAGGTGTTCCACATGCCAATCTATAAGTTCCCCTTTATCCTCACAGAACTGAAACTGTTAAGCCTCACAGTCACGCAATGTGACCTAGCTGCACCATTGTGTAAGTATCTGAAGTGTTTTATAGTTGTCCTTATTAGATGAAAAAAGGTTTGAATGATCTTAAGGCAGGTCTGCTGTGCTTTGTGGTTGGGCAAAGAGCAGGGACTTTCTTGATGCTTCTCGTACTGAAAGGTGTTGACCGGGAACAGAGTATATAATAAAAAGCCTCTGTATTTAGAAAAATGGGAAGAAACACAAATATATAAGCAGACTGTCTTCCACGTTCATGTTTATATAATTAATCCAGGGTAGTAACATACTGATTCAATACAAAGACTATAGAGAAATGTGCCTAAACAAAATTTCCTTAAAGATGGACCTTCTGTGTCTGTGAAGTTCAGGCATAGCCATGAGGGAACCGTGGAGACTGCGGAGTCACTAAGGGATGGCCTGCAAAATGGTAAGATGCTCTCTGAGGCTTTGTACATCAAAGTTTGCTTTCATGTTCTTTTACTTGTTTAGTAGGAGAGACTTCACCTTTGGGAACTATGGATATTAGTATTCCGTTTGGGGAATGATAACAGTGTTTATAGAATGCCTGAGTACTCAAAAATACTTCATTAGTATAATTTCATTAACCATGCTGTAGGCTACATAGGTAAATTGAATTAAATGATATTAGGCTGGTTAATGAGCACAGTTCTCTTTAGGAAAGCCATTCCTGAAGCAACTGCTTTGGATCCTACATGCAATGGAAGTAAAACACTGGAATGCTACTGGGTACCTGATATGGTTGTGCTTAAAGAAGAGCCACTGAAGCCAGTGGAACTAAAATGAATAACTTAACTTCCATTGATTTCAGTGGGTCTGCTGACTAAACTGGGACTCAACTGATTGTTTTTACTTAGCACACGTGCTTTAAAATACAACAAAAAGAGTATAAACAATTTCCAAGCAGATTGCAGAAGAAATATATAGAATACAACAGTCAATTTTAAAGTAATATAAAGATAAACACATTAAAACATTACAGAAACAATGAGAATGGCCAAATAGCTGAATGAGTATTTATTTATTTATTTATTTATTTAATTTATCCAATTCAATTTGATTCGATTTTTATCCTGCTTCATTAGCCATAAGGTTCCCTGGGAAGGTTACAAGTAAAAAAAAGTATTTACCTAATGATTGTGCAATGGAGCATATAAAAAGGCAGAGAAACAACCCTCCTGGGAAAAAACATGTGCAAGGAAGCTGATTTTGATCCCTTAAGGAATCTAGAAGCAGAAACCTTGGGCGGGCGGCAGATTGGAAGCTTCATGTAGAAAAGGCCTGTCTCCCCAAAATGGAGGAGGGAAACTGTTGCATAGGGTTTCTCCTACAAACTGAAACATTTGCCTACAGAAATTAATGTCTTCCTGCTGTTCCTTTTGAGGCAAGCAGGAGAATTATGCCACCTAGCACCCTGTCCCTAGCACGTCTGTAGAAAAGAGGCACATGAGAGTTAAATAGACCATTCAGTTGATGGTGGCATGGCTAGGATAGATGGGTAACAGCTGGCTGAAAAGTAACTCATACATCCAAACATTCTGCATGACTGGTGGTTCTTAGTCTCTTGA